GTTGCTCAAAAGCCACGGAATTAGCCTATAATTTGATAAAAAAGAACAAGTAGAAATTGAGTAGAATCTTTAATCTTGGACCAACTTAATCCTTTTTGAACTGACAACATTCATAATGATCTACACATCAACAGTATGCCTAACAATGACTTGATTTCATCTCACCTCATCTCATTTTTCTCTTGTATCTAACAAAATCCTAGCTCATCGTTGGTGTGTACTTCAATTTGAGAAACTAGTCGCGCTTCTTCTGAGCCGTAGTAGGTAAGTTGAAAAATGTAGTCATACGTTTTCATCAAGACACTCGCGCAAAAAGCGAGTTCTGCGCCACGTTGTCTTGTACTGGGATTCTTCTTTGAATTCTGATATCTATTATGTATTATATGTCCTAAATAGCAGTCAAGTGGTCAAGCAATGCAATTCCTATCACCTGGTTTACTAGCATTTGCCCTTTGATTTCTCTCTCTCATAGTACGACTATAAGAAATCGCGACTTGCATTTATGTAGTGCAGGCCCGAATGTGAGATCTTATACCTAGTGATTGGTCTGTCAGTGATGTTTTCATTCGTATAACGTTTTACTTCTAGGTATTCCAATCTAATGCGAAATTTGGAGACATTCCGAAACCAGTCACCGTAGCCAAGCGTTTGTCGCAATGTCTTCATCCTGCTCTACCTATGGGTAACCTTGAACGTTTAGGATTCTTTCACCACGGTTTGCATCGATATTTTGTTTCAGGGGTTCATTTGAAAGCATTAGAGACATATCGACAAATTTTTGATATACTTGGGCCTCATGCTTTGCCAAAGCTTCTGTATTTGTTTGCTGTCGGCTTATTTCCCCTTATGGACCACTGCGGCATAAAGGTATGACTAAGTTTTTGCTCTTTATTTTCTGAAATAGGTAATGCTTTCTAGGTAAAAACTGAGTTGTTCAACATCTTTGAGCAATATCTTCTACCATTGGGCCAGAATCTGCGGCCTGCGCTACCTGGCTTTTTGGCTGGCGTTCTATTGGGACTAGAGGAAGGAACTGAGTTTTACGAAAGGTTCGTGAGCGTGAATTATCTATCTCAAGAAATACGTCGCTAATTTTACTCCTGTTCTACTTTACAATGTAGTGGAGAGCATTTAGTACACAAAGGGCCACGTTTAGATCTTTATCTGTATTGGATCGTGTTTGTGAAGGAGTTGGAGAGCGAGCATTTTTTGCATGCCTCTGGCAAGCAGTGCTCGGTTCACCATCGGTTCGACTTCCCGCAATGTTGTACGTCAACGCTAAATTTGACAAATCTCGCACTTTCGACGATCAGATTGCCATCGTCGGGGATCACGTTAATCATATGGTAAGCTTTGAACTTTTCTCTTGCTGAATGTTTTTTAAATAGAAAGCATATGTTCATGTTGACGTTTTGAACAAGACCTTGTAAATCTACTCATAAACCTTTCTTAGTTCCCCTTCTTCCCCAATTAGGTCACTCGTGGCGCACCGTCCCCTTGGCTTAATCCATTTACTTTAGAAATTTGACAAGTTTTGAGTTAAACAAAACATTCAATGTTATAGAGCTCCATATTTAACAAAGTCCAAAAAGTTGTTTATCTAAATGACGTCCAATCATCCAAAGTGTTCCTATCCCTTAGGGTGCACCCCTATTGTTGGGTTTTTGTTCTTATATTTATGTTCTGATTTCGACAGTGGTTAGTTATGGATAATTTGCATTATTCTATGCTGATAAGCGATAATTCGCTGGCATGGTTATTGATGTATTGAGTCGAGGCTTTAGGTAGCTGCTCTGTGCGCAGTAGCTAATGACTCTGGATCTCCTTTGGTTCAGCGAAATCTATTAGATTTTCTGTGTGCCGTTTTTCCTTTGGATAGCACCAACCTCACAAGTGAAGATTTTGTGCAGGTATGTTTTCTCATACATTTCTATGAACTAGATACTCCATTAAATGTTCCAGTTATTAATGAGATGTATGTTTGTTGTACTTCGCCGCGATATGTCTCTCAATCGGCGTCTGTATACATGGCTTATGAATCCTACAGGTAAGTGGAGAAACATCACATAACAGATATAAGGAAGATTGCTGTGGCAAACTGAAACTGTTATCTAGGAGGCAGTATAGCAATAAGCAGCATCCCTATTGGCGATGAAGGTGTGGAGTCCAAATTCTTTAACGACCATGCTCTTCCTCTAATAGTGGAAGCATTGACCGAATATCTGAAACTTGATGTTGTCGAGATTCCTCAGGTGTCAGCAAATGCATGGGC